GTATCAACAGACATCATTGGGAAGGGGGACCTCCCGAAGGGTCTCCCACCTGGGCAAACAACTACAGGCGATCAATAGCTGCTGGGAGAAGAAGAATTCGCCTCTTCCAGGGAGGAGCCCATCAACTGTTAATAGAATGTAAAGTGGTCAGCTCTGAAACCACACACACGCAAACAACAAAAATGTACTCAGCAGGTTGTGTGTGCATACACACATACACACACCTGCACACATATGTGTGACAGTAACAATCAAAGCAAGAGAGGCTACAAACCTGAGAGTGGGGCACGGATATGAGAGGAGTTCAAGGTAGAGAAGCTTCAAGGGGCTGGAGGGAGAGAAAGGAGTGGGAAAGTGGGTAATTCTATTTCAATTGAGAACATTTTTATATGCAGAAGATTAGAAGGTTAAATATTGCCTGCACAAAGCATGTGTGTGTGTAAATGTGACGCCTGCTCGTCCCTTAAGCCCATATGCTTAGACCGCTCTTTTTACCCTTTGTTTGCTTTAAGGTAAAATGCTGTACGCTGTCACTTAGTCCATTCTCAAGGTTAGTTTTGTCTTTTGATTGGGTAATTGAGGCTATTAATATTCACTTTTATTCAAAGGTATCTATTAATTGCTGACATTTATTCTTTTCTTAGTGTTGTGTGTTTCCCATCCGTTTAAACACTGAGAGCATGTGTTATGCTTTCTTGTCCTTCATGGGTATGTTTATCTTTCTCCTCAGTCTGCAGAACTCCTTTCTGTTCTGTAGTGCTAACTTAACAGTCATGAATTCCTTCCGTTTGTTTTTATTTTGGAAAGTTTTTTTCTTCCTTGGTTCTGACAGATAATTTTGCTGGATGGAGTAAACTGGTTTACAGTTATTGTCTTTCAGAGCATGAAGTACACCAGCCGAGGCCTCTTAATTTTCAGTTGTTTCTGTAGATAAATCCCTTGTTCTGGTGGGCCTGCATTTACATGTCAGTTGGGTTTTTTTCTCTTTAAGATTTTAGCATGTATGTTTTTTCTCTGCATTTTAATGCTTTAACTATAACATGACATGGGGGTTCTTTTCCGGCCTTGTTTGTTTGTTACTGTAAGTGAACTTGGGAAATTTCCTTCTATAATTTTAGTGAAGATATCTTCTATGTTCTTTTCATAAAATTCTTCTATTTTTCGTGATTCATATATTTGGTCCTTTGATAGTGTCCCATAGCTCTCCCGTGTTCTATTGCTTACTTTCTTCATTTATCCTCATCATTGTCATTCTGGTTCATCTGTCTTGTCTTCAATCAATGACATTTTTGTCCATTTACTGATTTATGCAGACCTTTTTATTTGACTTATCAAAATTACAAATTTTCAGGTTATTATTTTTAAGTACTAATACCTTGTTATGAAAGTCTACTTTCATATCCTATATTAACTACCTCTTCTCTCTTTTTTTATCCCTCCACCCTTTTTCTTTTATTTCCATTAAACTTTTTTTCATATGTTGGGTTTCACCAAAGAATAGAGGCTGCATGTTGGTGTCTCCGTGTCTCAACCGCCTGGAAGCCAAAATTATTTTACTATTTACATCTCTCTTTCATTCTACCTTAAGGCACAGCTTTCTCATTTGCCTCCTTAGCCCCAATCATTCTTCCTCCTCTACTTTCTCTGTTGTACCAACAATAACTACTAGATTTATCTTAATTTTTTTCCTGGTGAGAAGTACAGTGTAGACTTTCCTAGGCTCTGTCTTAAGTTCAGCTGTTGGCTCTTACGTTTCCTTTCACTTGGAGGCAAAAGCACCCAAAGTATGCCAATCCCTCCCTTGTTCTGCTTTGTAAAGTCTTCTATTTCATTTCTCTATTATAATTAAGTATTGTTAGCCATCATCTACATCTTCTGATAGCTAGTATCCAACTTTCTTCAGTTTATTTCAAGGAGATTATAATAAATCATGCCTAAGTGCCTACTTCTGTAGAGGTTTCTTTTCTTTTTATAATTTTAAAATGCTTTAATTGAAATAGAAAGGCATAACTTTCCTTTTCCTCTATCCAGTTCCTCCCATCTTCCCTCAAACCCTTATGTTTCTCAATGCTCAATTTGTTACCCTCTTTTTCTTTGATTATTGCTGTTATAGACACACATATGTATATATATATGAATATACATACATACATACATATATCTTCATATGTACACATATACACTGTGTATGTGTATACACACACATATTCTATATGTGTGTGTATAATGTGTCTATATGCGTGCATACATACACATATATGTATGTATGTATGTAACAATAATGCCAGACTCCTTAAGAAAGTAACACACACACTGATGAGTACATTTTTGTTGGAGGTGTGTATTTCATTCAAAACTGATCACTTTGAGCTAGACAACAATAAAGTTTATCATCCTTGGGAGAAGCTAATTCTCTTTCTCCCAGCAGTCAATACCTGACTGTAGTTCTTTGTATAGCAGTGGGACTCTGTGAAAAATTTCCCTTCCATGTTAAACTGTCCATTAATATTGCCATTTTCCATTCTTGATTATACAGCCATTTCTAGATGAGATTGTTTCACAGCAGATTTTGTTTTCTGCTCTCATAAACTGCCTGCCCCCTCCCACAGAAGAAGAAGCAGCTGTGGTGTCGTTGATTCTCTTGAGGCCTTGAGGCTGGCCCCTCCACAATCTGTTAATTTCTGCAATGTGTCCAGCTGTTGCCCCTCTCTCTTAATCATTTATTTTTAAGATAGTTTGAGCATTCCATACTCAGATATTCATACAAAGACATGATTATTCTACCCAACATAACTCCTTCTCAACTTTGTGTCTTTTATTTTTAAAACCTATTAAGTCCATTTAACCCTGCCTCTATGGCATGAACATAATATTCGGTTTTGTTTGTGGCTCTGCAGTGAATCAAGCATAGCTTTTTCTCTCTTAAACATAGTTTCATGGAACATAGTCAGGTTATGGGAGACGGGACAAATGTGTGCATGATGTGATCAGTATATAAACTTATTTCATATGAGAATATCTCATTGTAGACAACCCCTGTGTGTTTACTGGTTGAAAAAAGAATTGCTACTAAATATTCCATGGTATCCACATCTCTAAGTTACTGAACCTCAATTTTTCAAAACACCATATCAATTGGTATGTGTTTCCTTTTTTGAAAAGGTTTGTTTTTTTTCTTTGCCTACGCCACATGCATGCAGTTCCCAAAGAGGTAACAATTACTGGAGTTTTCAGATGCTAGGAGGCTATTGATGGGAACATAGGAGTAGGGAAGACGCAGAAGCCTTAAAGATTGGCAAAGGATCGTCTGAAGAGCAATACAAGTGCTAAATTGAAATCAGAAATTCTGACTCTTTGGCTGCCACTAGAATGATGCTATAGACTCTGCAGTTTGTGTTGTGGGGATACTGGTATAGTATATTATTTTTATTTTATTTTATTTTTTTATTCTGTCTTCATTTATTCTTTTTTTTGGTATAGTATATTATAATGGATGAAATGCAAGGCACTAGAACCAGAGAGCTTCCATATAGACCTTAGTTCTGTTTATTGATAGTAGCATGACCGTCATTAGCTTATCAACCTTTCGGTGCCTTAGTGTGCCTAACTAAGCACATATTATTTAAAGTGCCATCTTCATAGTTACTTTCAAGACAAATGAGCACACAGTGTTTACGGTTAATAAAGTGTGTGGTTAATGCCTATTGTGGTGATGCAATTGTTAAATCTTTCTTTTTTTTGATGAAGATGGTCAAAATTTCAAAAGAAAACAGTACAAAAGAAGACATGGGAAAGCTCCACTTCACACATAAATTTCGTGAGTTTGGATGCTGAACAAGTGAGAAGAGAAAAGAAAGCTGAGGAGGAAGCAGGAGAAGGAGTCAGGCCTTAAGAGGCAGGTGTTATCAATGAGCAGCAGCTGTCTAAGGGTCTGAGATGCCAGTTATCAAAGGCAGAAGTACTCAACATCTGGTCAAGAACAACATCTGTGGTGGCTGGAATGAAAATACAGCCTGTAGACTCACAGGGAGTGGCATTGGAGGTGTGGCCTTGTGGAGGAAGTGTGTCTTTTGGAGGATGAGTTTTGAGGTTCCCGAAGCTCAAGCCAGGACCAGTATTCCTCTCTTCCTGTTGCTGGCCAACCTGGTTGCAGAACTCTCAGCCAGTGTCCAGCACCATGTTTGCCTCCATGCCATCCTGCTTCCTGACACGATGACAATGGCCTAAAACTATGAACTCTAACCCAGACACAACCAGTGTTTTCCTTGAAAAGACTTGCTTCACGAAGCAGTCTGTTCACAATAAAACCCTAACTAAGACAAACCCAAGGCCCCTTCCTTTTCAGCCTTGTATATGGTATATCTTTGTATATCAAAGATATACAAGATATACCTTGTATATGGTTTGTTTTTTCCAATTAATTTCCATATGCTGCTTCTTAACCATTTGTATACATTCATGATTTGTCTGCATAGCCTATAAGATAACAAAATATGTTTTAGACCTATTTTAAATACAGGTTCCAGAGTAATAACACAGGAAAAAAGAACTTGTAGACATTTTGTGTGTGAAATACAGGCTGTATTTAATAAAATTAACAATTCAAATGAGAGATTTCTAGTGTATAAAACTGTAAGTTTGAAAGCATTTATGACACGTGGCCCCGTTGTTGTCGTAGCAGTAATTGGTTATCATTGGTGGCCTGGATGGACGTGTGACTGAGCCGTGCTATGACACTCTCCTCTTCGGGCACAGTGCAAACATGGGGCTATAAATACTATGAAAACAAGCTCTGCAATACACAAATATGTCATATCCCAAATTTTCATAAATTTTACAGATAAGATTGACTTTAAACCATCTTATTCACATTTGTATGAATTTCTTCTTCACTGTTTTCTATTATCCCAGGCTACTGAAATGGACACAGCTAGAGGAGCTGATACCATTCACGTGAATATTTTGCGAAATTATTCACTATTTTTCATACTCCAATAAATTTACTTGTTTTTTAATCCTTTCATTTCAGTAATGCCACTTTTCTCTCCAATAAAAAACTTGATCACGCTTTCCCGGATCTGCTTGGTTTTGACTCCATAAACAATTGGGTTCATGGTCGGCGGCAGTAGCAGGTAGAGGTTGGCCACGATGATGTGGATGTGGTGGGGAATAGTGTGTCCTCCAAAACGATGAGCGAAGAACGTGAAAAAGGCAGGCACGTAAGTGACCACAATAGCACAGATGTGAGATGTGCAGGTGCTGAAGGCCTTGTGACGAGCATCAGCAGAGGACAGACTCACCACTGTGCGCAGTATCATAGTGTAAGACACAGTGATACAAAATATGTTGAACGCACAAACCACAAGGGCAACTACTAGACCGTAGACTGTGTTGACCTTGACATTGCCGCAGGATATCTTGGCCACAGACATGTGATCACAGTAAGTATGGGGGATAAGGCTTCCTCTGCAAAAGGGCAGGTGCTTGGTGAGCAGAGTGAATGGGAAGATGAGCATCACACTCCTCAAGAAAGTAGCAAGGCCAGCCTTGGCAATCACAGGGTTGGTGAGGATGGTGGTGTAACGTAGAGGATAGCAGATGGCCACATAGCGGTCCAGGGCCATGAGCATGAGCACCCCAGACTCCATTCCAGTCAACATGTGGACAAAGAACATCTGGGCCAGGCAGGAATTAAACCCAATCTCCTTGAGGTTGAGCCAGAATATGCACAGCATGTTGGGCACAGTGCTGGTGCACCAGCTTACATCAGTGAAGGACAGCAAGGCCAGGAAGTAGTACATGGGCCGGTGCAGAGCCTCCTCATGGCCAATGAGGTAGATGAGCCCGCAGTTCCCCACGACAGCAATCAGGTACATGAGGCAGAATGGCAGAGAGATCCAGACATGTGCAGCTTCCAGCCCGGGAACACCATTCAGGGTAAAGAAATCTGGGGTCAGGCTGGAGCTGTTGGCTCCAGACATATTGGCTGGCAGGATGAGAACATTTTACATTCTTTAACAGTGCCAATGTCCTGGGACAGAATGTAAACCAAAGGTTAGTAAAGGGTTAGGGAAGTAAATGCAAAAAAAAAAAAAAAAATTACTATGAAGTTCAATGAGATTTCTGAAACTAGATGTGATTAGACTTCCTTGAAATCCTTTTCTCTAGCTTCATGTCCTAACTCTATTTTTAACAACACAAACACAAGACACAAGCCAGTTTCTCAGCCATTCATGCCCCAGAATGGTGTGTTTGCACTGAGATAATTATTGCACCATGTTTATGGTGTTCTTAGGACTATCAAACAGGATGATTTAAAATATTGTGCTAATAATTTGTAACAATCAGTTGTGCTAAATAGCTTCATTAGTCTGGAAAATATCTAAAAATATTTAATTTGATATATGAGTAATAAAATAGAAAATATCTTGGGAATTCCCAAATTTGGTGAATACTCAAAAGTTATAAACACCAAAATAATGATTAGGGTGCAGAGTGAAATTTCAAACACAACTGATGTTCAATATAAATGATATATACTTATATTTTGCTAGACCTTTTATTTTTTATTTTTAAAACTTTGTTTCTTATTGGTTTATTTTTATTTTATTTTATTTTTATCACTTATTACAGCTTATTCAATTTGTGTCCTGGCTGTGTCCCCTTCCCTCTTCCCTATCCCACCCTCCCTTCCTCTTCTCCCCCTATGCCCCTCCCCTAGTCCACTGATGGGGAGGTCCTCCTCCCCTTCCATCTGACCCTAGCCTATTAGGTCTCATCAGGACTGGCTGCATTGTCTTCCTCTGTGGCCTGGCAAGGCTGCTTCCCCAGGGGAGGTGATGAGAAAGTCTGTCACTGACTTCATTGCAGAGAAAGCCCCTGCTCCTCTTATTAGAGAACCCGCTTGGAGACTGAGTCTATGGGTCTGGATTTTAGGTCCTCTCCATGCATTGTCCTTGGTTGGGGTATCAGACTCTGCAGGTCCCCCAGGGCTCAATTGTTGTTTTTTTTTTTTTTGTTTGTTTGTTTTGTTTTTGTTTTTGGCTCTGCTGGCTTCCTTGTGGAGCTCCTGTCCCCTTCAGGAGCTTTCTATATCCCCCTTCTTTCACAGGATTACCTGCATTGTGCCCAAAGTTTGGCTATGAGTCTCAGCCTCTGCTTCTATTCCTCAATTTTTCTTCACAATTTATTCATTATATATCTGATTGAAGCCCCCTCCCTCAACTCCCTGAGTCCCACTCTCCTTCCCTCTTCCTCTCATCCCTGTCCCCTATTATTTTTTCAATAATATTTAAATATATCTGGGAACAAAAGGATTTATAGCACAGCATATGAATTAAACTTTGTAATAATTGAATAATTTTCTAATTATTTTCTTACAGTGTGGATTATTATTTGTACATGCATGTACTGGTGAGAAGATTTTATAAATCTGATCTTTGTGTAGATGTTTCTATTGTGCTAACATTATGTCCAGTGAATACTGATTAAATATCAACATCAAAAACTATTGCTGTTACTACCATTACCGTTAGATTCTATCGTGGTCTAGAGCATCCTCTCAGATCAGAAGTCTCTTAACGGATACATGCCAATATAAGCGGATTATTTTCATCCTGCTCAAATGACAGACTCATTCTGGGTCTTCAGGGAAATAATATTGTAAAATTCTGAAGCATCCATTATAAAGGGGAGTTGAAGTTTCAGTTTTTAAAATCCGACTTAACCAATGCCTTCAAGGGTCAGTATTTATTGCTGGTTTTCTACGTAAAACATTTTAATCTGGAATGAAAATGATGGGCCATTTCACGTTCGGATTTCTTTAAACGCCCCTGCTACAATGAAGTGGCCAGGCAAGTAGCCTCTCAATTTCCATAGGATAAACGTTCTTCATAGAGGGACACCTTGGATGTTTCTGCTTCCTCTAATACAGCCAGAGGGCGCCCAAGCCTCACTACGGGAAAGAAAACACGCAGAAGCATGAGCTGTGGGGTCTCCATTGCTGACTTACAAATTTAAACTAATAAACGGCCACGGGAACCATCATCATGTCCCAAGAATCAGTAATATCAAAAATGACAAATTATATAACAACTGACAGACAAACCAGTCAGTTATTCCTTCCAGTTCATCAGGACATACATCAGTCTTTCCTTCTAGGTCACCCCGTTCCTGTGAGATTCTTACAGACCTGCAGAAACCCTCTCTGCCAGGGACCACAGCAGACACACTTGGCTGGACCCGGGTGTGTGACTTATCCTCCTTCCGGTTCTCCGTCGAGCGCTCTCCATCCTTACCTTTAATCCTGCTCCACTCTGCCTACCTCGTTTGTTATGGACTGTCGTATGCTTCATTGTTCATGCAAGGTCCTTTGGCCTTTATGGAAAAATAATGGTTTTATTACAAAACGAAACAAAACAAAAAAGTTTTCGTGTTTCCCTGCCACCACTACTTAGCATGTAATTATCTTTGGATTGCATTGTATTATAATGTTTGAAAGATTACTGATGAGTTTCATTAAGAAAACCACTAAAACCAACATAAACAACCCCTTTCTGTTTTGTGCCACATAGTTAGGTGAAGCAACCTTCTCAGACCTGACAATTATAGAACAAAATATCCAAGAACTCTGAAAATATTGAGGATACCCTGCGTCTTACAGTATAAAATATTCAGCCAGGTTTTAATTTATTTAATAATAAATAGGCACATATATCTCATTAATACAAATTTTCTTTTGTTCCCAAAAAAATAATATGGCACACCAAAGATCTGTTTTAAAATAATTTTCTTTCTGATTTATTTTTCACTGTTTGGTTTGCATTTCTGTTTTATATCCTTATGTACTTGGGTTATGTGAAAACTTTCCAGGAGAAAAGGGGGTCATGAATGAATGAAAAAAGTTCTAAAAGTTCTGCTCTGTATCACAGACATGTTAGAACATCTGGATGAGAAGTAATCCTTCAATCAGTTCATGGAATACTATCATCAACACAAATAATCTTTTATAATAATCAGCAATACATTAAAAACAAATGTTTTACCCTTCCACACTTTCATTGTCTTCAACATGCTTTGAAGCATTTGAGCTTCTCAGGATATATTAATGAACCAAATATTTAAATCCCTTATGTTCCATGTGCTAGTTTTCCAGTGCAGGCTGATTTCTTTATCCAAATCTAGACAGTATAGATAATATTATCCTCACTGTGTCATTGTATAAGAAAGGGAACGTTGGTGCAGGATGACTCAGAATCTCCTTAGCTCACAAAAGCAAAGTAGTGGCAGAGAATGAGTTTCCCATTGTAAGGTCATCCCTCTCCATCACCTTGGTCAACACACCCCAATTGTGAGAAAACAGCTGCATGCTATCATGAGATTGGAAGTATCTGATGCTTAGGTGCAAGAAAGAAATTATCTCATTTTTTATTGTATCTTAGGGAAGAGAGACAGAACAAACAAGAGAAGTTAAAAGGATCCAGCCCTCCACACAGACTGTTATTAAGATGGCCAGTTTTTGTGTCTGCACCAAATTCCTGTTTTTCCTTCAAGACCATTCCACTGGAAGCAATTCTTAGCATAAATATTAATTAAGGCAAAAATGTTTTCCTCCTCTAGTAATGTAAAATGGCCCAAACTTTGCTCTCTCTCTCTCTCTCTCTCTCTCTCTCTCTCTCTCTCTCTCTGTGTGTGTGTGTGTGTGTGTGTGTGTATGTGTGAAATTACAGGTACATTAAAATTTATATCACAGTTTAGGAAAGTCATATTTTTCTTTTTATTCCCCCAACTAAGAGTGATGTATCATTGTCCTCATCAACAGTCACACCCAAACCACTATATTTATTTTAATTTTCAAAAGTAAGAGTATTTGGAAGTCATCCCAACTCACCTGAGAGTAAAGAAAGACGAGACTACTGTGCATGGCTGAGCATCAGGAGTTCTATAACAATCAGGGTCCACCTGTAGCTAGCATGGCTGGACATTTTGAGGAATGTGCACCCTTGAGTTTCTGTGCCTGATTGGCTCTTTCATTTCACTCTCCCAGGAGACCTAGAGAGGACAAATCCTTGTGGACTCATGATAATTTCTGCACTTAAAAGTTCTTTAAACACTGGTGAAACTAAAGAAAAACAATCTTTCAAAATGATTTTAGGGACAGCACAAGCTCAAATCAAATCAAATCCCAACACCAAGAAGAAGCATACACGCACTCCTATCCAAAACTGAGATGCTACTTGCAACTGATACCTACAGGAAGAGAAGAAATCAGTTTTCTCGATGGAGTGTTACTAGGATTGTTAAACCACAAACAAGACAGGCAGTTCCCAAGCCTAGTAATAGAGACAAACATAAAACAGAATGCATGGATTTTGGTTGTTTTGTTTGGGTATTTTTGTCATATCAGGGTTTTGTCTGTTTTGATTTTTCTCTTTTGTTTGTTTGTTATTTTGGGAGGGCAGTGTTTGGGAGGACCTGGGATGACTTTCTATCTTTTCCAAATTTTTTAAAATTCATTTTCCATCCATGTTGTAGCCCATCCCTCGTCCTCTCCCAGTGCCACCTTTCCTCCTTCCCCTTCCCCGCTTCCCTTTTTCTCAGAAAAGGGAAGCTCTGTGCAAAGTTTGGCTATGAATCTCATTATCTCCTTCGATACCCTGGAGGGTAGAGTCTTTCAGGGGTCCTCTGTGGAAGGCTTCTGTCCTGTTATTTGTCTTCTCCTACTTCCAATGTCTATCGTGTTTGTCCTTCTGAATGAGGATTAAGAATCTTTCCTAGGGTCCTCCTTGCTGTTTACCTTCTTTAGGACTATAGATTTTAGTATGTTTATTCTATATTATAAAGCTATTATCCACTTATAAGTGAGTATAAATCATATGTGTCTTTCTGCTTCTGGGATACCTCACTCAGAATGATCTTTTCTAGTTCCAACCATTTGCTTGCAAATTTCAAGTTTCCCTTGTTTTTGATTGCTGAATAGTAT